ACTTTGGAAAAGTTTAGATTCCTGGGACAGAGGCAAAGACACACACACACACACACACAAGAGAGAAAAAGAGCCAGGGCTGCTTTCACCAGGATCAGTTTTTATTGCTTGAGAACCAGAATGCTCATATCCAAGTGAACACACAAAAGGCATTTTTTTCTCCCAATGCCCAACTTGGCTCCCCTCCTTTTTTATTCACTCCCCAGTAGCCTGGGAGGAGAGTGGTCACTCTCTGCATGAGACCCAAGTGACTTCCATGTCAGTGGAGCAGAGAATCCGCTCTGAGCCTTAAGGCTGCTGCCACACTGCAGAAATAATCCAGTTTGACACCGCTTTAACTGCCAGGGCTCAGTGCTATGGGATTCTAGGAACTGTTGTTTTGTGAGACATTTAGCCTTCTCTGCCAGAGAACTCTGGTGCACAACAAACTGCAAATCCTAGAATCCCATAGCATATTGAGTCATGGCAGTTAAAGCAAACTGGATTATTTTTGCAGTGCAGATGCAGCTTAATAAATCTATCCTTTAAAAGGAGCCATCAAAAGGGCCAAAGCTCTTGGGAAGTTAGGTTTCTGCAGCCTGAATAAGGCCCCTAAAATTCAGTCTAAAACCCAGAGCTGATGTGCCACCGCCACCACCACCACCGCCACCACCACCCAGATGGAAGTCACACATCAAACTGCAGGGCTTGCTCAGATTATTATTTAGAAATCTCCCCTCCTTGCAGGAAAATACTTGAGAGCTGAGCTTTCAGCCCAGATTCAGGCTCCACCTAAAGCCAGTAGTGTTTTAAAGGAGAATCACAAAAGCCCTCCTCTCTGTGTGTGTTTGTGTTTCATCAACAACAGACACCCTAATCCCTTTTTAATGCTGCAGGGTTTGGAGGAAGGAATGGAAGAAGATGTGAGCCAAGGGGACGGTTTTTGTTTCTGTGGAAAGGTTTAAGAGGAACCCCCAATCAATATCAGGATTTATAGACCTCTGACCCCTCCACTGCAAGTTTTAAACCATGGTCAAAATTTTGCAAACCATATGGGGTTATTTTCTCTCTCCTTGCACCCCCCCCACACCTAAATTTGCTTCTTAAATAAGTGGCTACAGAAAGGCAATGGGGAAGTGTGTTTGTGTGTGTGTATACACCACACTAGGGAAAGCAGGGCTTGGGACCCTTCTGTTCTTAAAAACTCTAGCTCCCAGAATTTTGGTTAGGGATTCTGGGAGTTTCAACCTCCAAAGGCAACTTTTCCCAGTTCCAGATGGAACTTGGCTGCTCTGACACTAGGGCTACACCTCTTTTTTTGGAACAAGGAGCCTTGCTTCTCCACTCCCATGTGCGCTCACCCCCACATCCTAGAACATGCATTCATCACCCCAATTTTAGCACTGTGATTCCACTTTAATTGCCATCATTCCTTCCTGTGATTATGGGATTTTATTTATTTGTTGATTCAGTTTATAATCCCTCTCCCTTTCTCACAAAAATGAGATTCAGCGTTTAGGGAAAGGTACTTAGAATGCTTAGCCAAAGAGCTCTGATGCCCCTCATCAAAGTACAGATCCCAAATTTATACAACACAGCAGTTAAAAATGGAATTATGGGAGTATAAATGGGACCAGTGAAAAGGCTCCAAGGCTGTCCCTGTGGCATGTACTGATCCTAAGCAACCTTGGCCTACAACTAAGTCCAAGACTGCATCCGCACTTCAGAAATAATCCAGGTTGACACCATTTTAACTGCAACGGCTCAATGCTATGGAATTCTGGGAACTGTAGTTTGTTGTGGCATCAGAGTACTTTGACAGAGAATGTTAAATGTTTCACAAAACTACAATTCCCAGAATTCCACAGCACTGAGACATGACAGTTAAAGTGGTTTCACCTGGATTATTTCTGAAGTGTGGATACAGCCCTAGAGGATGCTGGGGATGCTGCTCCTAGGCAAGTACTCTGCCGATTTTCAAGGTTGCATCTACACTGCAGAAACAATGCAGTTTGACACTGCTTTAAGTGCTGTTGCTCCATCCTAGGGAATCCTGGGATTTGTACTTTTACAAGGTCATCAGCCTAATTACAAATCCCAGGATTCTGAAGGATGGTGCCATGGCACTTAAAGTGGTGTCAAAATGCATTATTTCTACAGTATAGAGGCACCCAGAGTCAACCCTTATGAAATGGGTAGGACTTAACATCTGAAGAAGCATGCTTCTCCCAGTGGGTTTTAATTGAAAATAAACTTGTTTCAGGATGGGGTATTTGTGGCCATGGCCTCTTTCCACTCAGTCACCCATGCATGTGGATCTCACCTCCATTTTCCTTGGAATATAAATTCCACAGGTTGGGTGGGATGGAAACGGACCAGAATTTATGACTGGGCAAGGTGCTGTCCACACTATGGGAGATCTCTCTATTATGTAGCAGGAAAGACAAATGGCGTATAATTATAAATTATAATATCTGTGTATATATATATCTCTATACACACTCACATACAAATATATAAATATATACACTGATAGAAAGCAGCTGCTGTTGTGTGATTCAAAAACCATGGAACATGGCAGTATAGTACATAACATGGAAAAAACAGAAAAATCTATAAAAAAATGACAAAAAAATTCAAACACTCCCCACCCCGCATGAACCATCATAAATCTTGGTCAACATACAGTGATCACAGCGGAACTTCTATACAAGGCAATGTACAAAATCGCAACCTGGCTTGAAGCTGGAGAAGGGTGGTGAGAAGAGTCCTAACCTGGAATATTATCTATCATTTCACATTGACAAACTTAAAAGTTTTTCTTAAAAAAGCATGGTGAAGTTTTGGAAACACAGAACAAACTGCAGCAAACTAGAGGGGGTTTGGGGGTGGTTTTGGAGGAGGTTATTATTATTACTTTTTTGGCAACCAGACTGTGGCATATAATAGACGCATCTCCATATAAAAATAAAAAGTCCATATCGGGTGTCACAGGATATACAAGACGGTGAGGTATGAAAGTTTCTCTCTCGCTCTCCTTTTCCTTTCCCTGGGACTAAAAAAAATTAGCCCAGACGCCAAAGAAGAATAGTGTATGATCAACAGACTAAAAAACAACAACAAAGTAACAGGAATAACAACAACAGTAACAACAGTAAAAACCAACAACATGGCACGCAGGGATGTGACGGAGCATGAGAGCTGTCAGGGATGAAGCGACGACAGGACAGACCTCTGGGCCTTCCTCTTCCTCTTCCTCACTATAAAACACTTTCCCGGAAGATTTTCTCCTGTCGGAGGCATCGTTTCCCTGTTGCAGAATTGATTGGCAGCTGTGGGTTTGGGGTTTTTGTTTTTTTGTTTTGGTTTTTTTTAAAAGAAAGACTAAAATAAATAAAATAAATACATAAATAAACTCCCTCCACAAAACTATATATATATCTATATGTATATATATCTATATAGATATATAGATATATGTATATATGTTTATATATAAAAGGGGGTGGGTTCAAAGGGAGAGGAAGAAGGGAAGGGAGTGTGGGAAAACTATAAAAGCCAAAGGTGGTAAAGGGTGGGAGTGGAGGAGGGAGGAAAGGAAGGAAGGAAGGAAGGAAGGAAGGAAGGAAGGAAGGAAGGAAGGAAGGATTGAATGAAAGGAAGGAAAGGAAGGAAGGAGGGAGTGGGTGAGAAGAAAAAAATTCTAATGTGATATTTACCACCACATCACTGCACGAGACAACACTTGTGTACATTGGCAATAGGTTTACCTGCCCCCGCGGCTATTCGGAAGGACAGGAACACGGGCTGCAAGAAAAGAAAAAGAGAGAGAGGAGGGGATAGGAGGTTAGAAGGTGGAGCTGCCCCTGGGATCCTCAGCATCCAAACCCTCCCTCCTCCATCCATGCCAGGATCCTGCCATCCACCACCCTCCCTCTGCAAGATATTGGGGAGGGAGCCTTTGGAGGTCCAGCTGGCAGGAGAGGCACACTGTCCCCTGCCTCTCTTGAACCCTGGACAGCTCTGGGAAGGCAGTCCAGCCGGGATGGTAGGCCTTACTCACAAATAAGACAGCCTTCAGATCAGGGAGGGAAAATCTCACCGGTTGGAATAGGAGAGCTCTTTCCCAACATCCTGCTTACTTGGGAGCAAACGCCTATTTCAACCCTACAGGGCTTACTTCTTGAGTAAAAAAGGGAGATGGATTTGCTCAGTGATGGAGTGGGGTGACCTTGCAAGCCCCCTCCCCTCCCCTGTGTTTACTCAGTAGGAAGTTTAACTGAAAGCAATGGGATTCCCTTTCAGGTAAGTTGGTTCCACTGGCTGTCCTCAACCCACCAGCCTCCAGGAAAAAAAGTCCTAGTAAAAAGGTCCTCTGTGTTCTATAACCAGAGAAAATGCTCCTGTGTATTCAAACAGATATGTATTCAAATCAGTATTATTTGAACACGTGTTGCACTACAGGCAGTGCTGCCCCCCCGCCCCCCCAGAGTGAGGAAAAAGTTATTTTTTTTTTGGTCCACAGTGCCCAGAATACATGAAGGGTACTGTGTTGCCAAACCCTGAAGAGAGACCCTTGCAGCCTCACCACCTGTCAGCACTGAATTCAGGTTTACCTTGTGGTCCCCCATGCAGACATTTGGTCCAATATGGTCATACACCACTTGCTTCTCTTCATTTTCTGACTAGGAGGAAAAAACCAACAACATAAAACCAGCCTTGAGTCAGTTCTAACATTCTTTCCAAAGTGTCTGCACTGAGGTCAAAGGCATGGGAGTGAAACAACAGGAGGAGGGAGGATAGATACCAGGCTTATTAAAATGGATTGATCTCCATTTTAGAATCTGTACCCCCTTATTTGGCTTAAAATATTGTTACTTAAGTCGAAGTGGGGATGACCAGCTGGCTGGGTCTCAAGTTCACATATCTGCAAAAATATGCATAATCTTGCCCCTGTGCATTACAGGACAAGCTTAAGCTGTCTTGTCATATTTAGGCAACACTATCCCATACTTAAGAGAGCCAATGTGGTGTAGTGGTTTGAGCACTGGATTATGACTCTAGAGACCAGGGTTTGATTCCCCTCTTGGCCATGGAAACTCACTAAGGGGGGTTGCAGACTGCCAGAAATAGTGCAAATTGAGTCCACTTTTAGGGTTAGGGTTAGTGCTAGGGAGTCATGGGAATTGTTTTTTTTCTGAGACATTGAGCCTTCTCAGTCAGAGAGCTCTGATGCCACAATAAAATACAGTTCCCATGATTCCCTAACCCTAACCCTAACCCTAAAAGTGGACTCAATTTGCACTATTTCTGGCAGTCTGCAACCCCCCTAAGTGACCTTGGGTGAGTCACACATTCTCAGCCCCAGAAAACCCTTAGGGTCACCATAAGTCAGAAACAATTTGGAAGGCACACAATAACAACAATCCTATTCTCATAACAACCAAATTGGTCCTAGAGCAGATCAAGCTGGAAAGCTCCCTGGAAGCCAAGATGATCAAACTGAGGCTGTTGTACTTTGGACACATTGGAAAAGACAATAATACTGGGAAAAGTGGAGGGAAGTAGGAAGAGAGGAAGGTCACATGCTAGATGGTTGGACTCTATTAAGGTCACGGGTATGGGTTTGCAGAAATTAAGCAGAGCAGCGGAGGACAGAGGGTCACTACACTGCAATTGATTCTCATTTATTCACTCCATACCCCTGATATCATATTAATACAGGACACTATCCACTAAGATAGCCATATGAAAAAGAGGATGGGGCTCCTGAGGTTTTGCAGTTGTTTAGAATAAGGGATGAAAGATATTATTTTTTTGTGCTTTCAAGTCATTTCTGACTTATAGGGTGTTTTCTTGTTAAGATTTATTCAGAGGAGTTTTGACATTGCTTTCCTCTGAGGCAGAGAGAGTATGACTTGCCCAAGATCACCCAATGGATTTCCATGGCTGACTAGGGATTTGAACCTTGCTCTTCCAGAATTCTAGTCCAACCCTCAAACCATTACACCAATCTATAGATGCAAGTGACACCTACAGTACTGACATTCCTTCTTCTGTAAGACCATTCAAGTACAGGAGCTCTGTTCTCTTTGAAATCCCACTACCTTCTATTCCACCCAAGACAAGCACATTTCAGTGTCACATCTTTCAACAGATGAGTTGAATATATGCTTTACTTCCATGAAAAGTCACTGGACTTAAAATCTGGCCACCAGGTTGCATCCAGAGTCGTAAGCATTTGCACCAATAAGGGTAATAGCAATTAATGCATGCTCCATAAAAGGATGTCAATTGACTGAAATTACCAATCAATTGATTTACTTAATTTTCACTGGCCAATTCATTAACCAATTATAACAAACAGCACTTTACTGCAGGTGAATCTTCTTCATTAACTGAATACAGATTCCTCTTCAGCAAGCCAGTGAACTAAGGGCCTTTACAGATCGCCAGAAATAGTGCAGCTTAAGGCAACTTTAACTGCCCTGGCTCAATGCTAAGGAATCATGGGAACTGTAGTTTATTGTGGCACCAGAGCTCTTTGGCAGAGAAGGCTCAATGTCCCAGAAAAAAAAATACAATTCCCATGATTCCCTAGTACTGAGCCAGGACAGTTAAAGTGGCCTCAAGTTGCACTATTTCTGGCAGTCTGTAAAGGCTCTACGTAAGCTTGCAGTCTTATAGACACTAGTCATTGTTGAATTAAGGGGACTTATTCTGATTAGATATTTGATTCCCTCCCAGGACTTGTGACTTACTTCCAGAATCCTTCAAATCAGGGGTGTTCCTACACAATGCTTAAATCAACAGATGCTGACTATTTGGAAAACATTTGTCAGTTTTCACATTTTTCAAACTCCTCTTTTCTAAAATCATTGTTAAAACGCTTTCATCAATTAGGCACAATTAATGCTTTCAGTTCTAATCCAATTACCAGATTTGGAATCAAATGTGTTTAGCTCTAATCAGAGCTGGCTTCATGCACAAAAATGGAAATACCAAGGAAATGGAGAAAACAGGGAAATGTGCTGCATGTTGTCATTGAATGGAAACACATTCTCTTCTTTCCTTTCCCCTAAACAGCCCAATTCTAAACATATTTATTTGGGAGTAAGTCTCTTTGATTTTAATTGAGGTGGCTTTCAACCACATGCACTTAGTAGCAGTTTCAGAAGGAATGTTGGAAACATTAAAGCCAATGGGAATTTTGCCATGGATCTAAACCAAATGTTTGATTTTTACTTACACCCCTCTCAAAATAAGCCTTGACTGAAGAATATTTTTTTCCCAACCAAACCTTGTGAATTATTTCTGCTCTGTTCTACGGTGTTACTTTATTCCCTTTATTTTCCTGTTTTCTCTTCAAACAAATAATGAAATTGACACAGCGCTGGCTATTGCATCGACCACTGCTGACCATTTCCTTTGTTTATCTAGCATAATGACCCTGCTAAAGCAATCACTTAAGAGAAAGAAAGACTGACTTGAAATTTCTCAGCCTAGTTAAACAGCAAGATAATTAAATCTGGAACTCACACCCCTCTCCTAGATCTTTCATACCCACATGCATGTACACAACCGCAGCTGCACTTGCAAATAGTTTCCCATCCTAATTTATTTCAGATGAAAAACAGTCAAGCTTCCCCTCATCTGTAATCACGTCAATTCTGAATGGGTAAGAACTTCATATATAAACAGCCACATTTGGGACGATAAAGTTAAAACTGTATTATCTTTAATGCAATAAGAAAGCTTAAGGTCATATTTGCTTTCTAGCATGCTTGCCTAGGAATCTATATATCTATAGCTATACACAGACACACACCTACACACTCACATATGAAAAACCCTAACCTTCTGCATTGTATGCATGAACACTTTCCAATATTTCAAGCTCATAATGCCACCGCCATCGGAAGTGGAGATACATTCATCAAAAGAGACTTGATAATTTACAAAGGCAGCATCAAATTGTGGATTTTCAAGTGCATAATCTTTAGACAGATAAACAAATTACAGTAGCGCACGAACAGAAACACGCTCCACTCAGCTGAGCATTCATTACGCCATGCTCTCAGGCAGTTCTGTGACTCCCGAGCAGCGGGCAACCTTTGGTGTGTTAGGGCTCAGCAAGCATAAAATAACATGCTGGGGAGGTAACCGACCATGGCATGATAAATGAGGTTGTGCTAGAGCTGTTTACAGCCCCATGTCTGTACAATCTGTATGGGCCTACCGTGAGCGGAGCCGGCTTCTTTGGCTGTCAGCTAATTTGGGCATAGGCAAAACCTCTCCCTCTAAACAAACAAAGGAGCCCATACTTTCAAATTTCTTGAAATGTTACATCTTTACTTTACTTTTTATTAAAGTGATACTTTAGAAAACTTGGGGAGTGCATATGATTTTGCTTGCCCCCATAAATCAACTTAGGACGTAGGTCACTATTACTCCCTTTTTACAGATGTGAAACTGAGGTTTTAGAGATAAAGAACTGCCTGCTGGGTTGTTGTTGCAGTCCATCTACCTTCCATGCATTTAGCAAGTGAAACAGATACAGAAGTAAAAGAAAACTTCATGGTAAATCTGTTCCTGGGCTGTAGTTGTTATAGGAACTTTAAGTACTTTAAGAAAAATACATTCATCCTAGTTACCTAATATTTCTTTTACATCCCTATGGGAGTCCTGGTGGGTAGAAAAGTAATAAATGAATCCTTTTATCAGATAAACAGTTCCCTCATAGAAAGACATCAGGTTTGTCAGATGTTAGGTTGCTCTGTACGGGACAACATTAGCAACTGTAACTATCCATAGGAGAGTTTTAGCATCTTAGCTACATGTACATTAAATTAAATTTTAATTGTTTTAAATATGTTGTTAGCCACCTTGAGTCCCATTATTGCGAGGAAGGCATATATTAGGAGAAAAGCTCCTTGAGTCCCATTATTGGGAGAAAGGAATATTAAAAAATAAAATAAGTAAGTAAATAAATAAGAATACCTGTATACATCAGGTAGAAAAATTATGAATATATTTGTTCTTTTATGCAATACAAAATAAGTGAAGATTTTTACAGCTATATTTTATTCAAAGCGTAGCTTTGAATTTGCAAAAGACTCCACAACTTTTATTTTGCACACAGTGGAACAGTTATTTCCATTTTACACATGGGAGAATTGAGGCTAGGTGAGACTGCCATCCAAAGATGCCTAGCAAATGCATGTTCACCACAGGTGGAATTTAGTTTCAAACTGTAAGTTCAGCTTTATCCATTACATCAATTTAAATAATTCATTTACTGCATCCAGACTTTTTAGAATTCTGGTAAGACTGCCCCCAATACATAATGTATCTGGCACTGCAGAGAAATTATGCAGGAAATTGTTATGGCACTGCATAATAAGTTCCATAGGTATGAAAGAATGTCCTTAAATCACATTTGGTTTTAACTATTTATTTATTTACTATATTTATATCCTGCCTTTGCACCATAGCTTTCAAGGTGGCTAACAAATATGACACAAAACAAAGTAAGCAATCCAAACCATTGACTATCTAAATTAGGGGTCGGCAACCTTTTTTGCCGACGGGCTGGGGGGGAGGGGGGGAGATGGCGTTGGGGGCCGGCGTGCGTGCTCATGCGTGTGTGCCCTCTGCGTGGGCACGCGCGCCACCATTTTGAAAAAAAATGGTGGGTGGCCCCCCCCGCGTGCAAACAATCGAGATGGCTAAAAATGGTGGACGGCCCCCCCTCTGAGAACAATTGAGGTGGCTAACATCAATTAAAATTACATCCAATATAAATCCCCCGAAGCCCAAAACCCACCCACCCCTTAAAAAAGTATTGAACCAGAAAATATTAAAACATCTTAGTTAAAATGATATGACATAAAATCAAGTCATAAACAACAGCAGCATCCGAATTGGGAAAGGGTGGATAAGGGGGTTCCTGAGGCCAGGAAGTCTATTCTGGAAAGGCCTGCCGGAAGAGATCCGTCTTAACAGCCTTTTTGAAGCTGTTTAGTGTAGTAATCTGACGGATCTCATCCAGCAGGCTGTTCCATAATCTGGGGGCGATTTCCGATAATGCTCT